GACCTATTCGGGCCTGTTCTGCGTCACTGTCAACCCCTACAAGTGGCTGCCGGTGTACAACGCAGAGGTGGTGGCGGCCTACCGAGGCAAAAAGCGCCAGGAGGCCCCGCCCCACATCTTCTCCATCTCTGACAACGCCTACCAGTTCATGCTGACGGGTGAGTGGTTCACGTGGCTTTCATATCCAATTGTGATATGAAATCCTGTAGTCCAACGACGTTAGAGCCCAAAAGACCTTTGGGAAGAATCAGTTGTTGGTGATTGTTCATGACATCTCATTGCTTATGGAAGGGGTTCTCGAAAGCAGAGAAGGGTAGACACTGACAGCCAGGAGCTAAGCTCAGCTCAGTTGCCTCTCCCTCTCCCTCCACGACTCCAGCCGAGCTTGCATCTTCCTCAGGCCACTCAGGGTCTTACAGTCTGCTTACTTGGGAAAGTCTGCTCTACTTTGTGTTCAACTAATGAGAAAAAGATACCTGAGGAAAACGTTGCTTGAGAAGTGTAAACCATGTCACCCACTCCCTCACTGCCTCAGTTTCTTGCTGCTTGTACAAGACACTTTAGAAAGAACTGTCATTTTTAAAGTCATCTGAGCACATTCTTGTTGGTGGCTTCTTCTTAGTAAAGATGGTGTTTGGAGTACCTAGAAGTTTTACAACTAGAGGTTTTCACCCCACAAAGGATTTCCCTTTGAGAATTACTTGAGATGTCTACATGATCATTACTTAACAGTTTGAGAAAGGCCAATCAGAGGGTTGCAGTCTGAGCCCACAGGATTAGAAATTTTTTCTTTGTGAGGTTAATTCACCCATTTAGAAATGAAATCTTAACCTTGGCTGATTAGCACCATTCTAACTTGCAAAACTAGGGCACAACATGCATTTCTAGCAGTGGCTGTTTATCAGTGGGAAGTGTGCCGCTGAAATCTACAAACGGGGGTGGGGGTGGAGGCGTGAGTCTGACTTTGGAGCGTGTTATTCTTCATATGAAGGCAATAGGGAGCTCTTCCTGCCGTGATGTAGCTATGACAGCATCTTATGGGTTTCTTTCTTGACTTCAAAGTCCAGAGAGTCAATCCCAATAATACAGTAAAAAAAAAAAAAAAAAGCTTCCATGAAAAATGTGACACTTTGAGACTCACGAAAAATTTACATGACTCACATATGGCTGACTACATACTGTTTTTCTTCTAGATCGGGAGAATCAGTCTATTTTGATCACGTATGTATTTCTATTCTGAAACTTTCTGTTTTTTTTTTTTTTATTCCTCACTGAGAAAATGAGAAAATCTAAAGAGAAAATTAGTGGATACTATAAGAAATGACACAATCAGTGAGGATCTAGACAGTTTCAGAGTCACCCTAGATAGCAGATTGAGTCCAGATGTAAAACAGCAGCGCTGCAATTTATCTTGCTGGCTGGTATAACCTTGTGTCATGTGGCAATCCCAGGAGTAGGGAATGTCAGATTCCCTCTTGGAGCCTGGCCAGAGCTCAGTCCAGTGCAGAGAGCAGCATACAGCCTAAAGAAGGCACAGCTTTTGGGGGTGAGCCCCAGCCGTGTTATTTGAGGCCCCCCTAGGGAACTTCCAACACCTGTGAGAACTAACTGGAGCCCGATCTCCAGTCTCGGGCAGCCAAGGAAAACACACATTACTGGGGCTTCTTATTCATCCCTCAGTTTGCTGCATGGCTGTTGAGGGGCTGCTGGGTGGACTCTTCAAGAACAGGTCTCAGCACCTCACAGAGAACCTGGAACATTTTAAGTGAATGAATGAATAAATGAATAATAAATGAATTTCCCTTTTTGTCAGTGTAAGCTAAGGGAAGCAATATGAGTTATTTGTAGGGAGAAAAAACCTGACCTGGAGGACTATGACAGAGATGAAAAGTCAGACACACACGAGGGAGCAAATACTGTCGGCAGGCATAGTTTCATCGGCCACAAAGCTTAATTTTCCACATATTGGTCTTTATTGAACAGTGGAGAATCCGGGGCCGGGAAGACTGTGAACACGAAGCGTGTCATCCAGTACTTTGCAACAATTGCAGTCACTGGGGAGAAGAAGAAGGAGGAGGCGACTTCTGGCAAGATGCAGGTGGGTCTGAGTGTCACAGCCAGAGTCCAGTCTCTGTTGTCTATCTCAGGCAAGAAAGCCCTGAGATGTGAGAATGGATCTTTCCCTTGCAGGGGACCCTGGAAGATCAGATCATCAGCGCCAACCCCCTGCTGGAGGCCTTTGGCAACGCCAAGACCGTGAGGAATGACAACTCCTCTCGCTTCGTGAGTCTCTTAGTCTTCACTGACTTCAGAAGAAACCGTATCAGAAGCACCGCGTCCTTTCTAGTGCATCAGTCTTTGACGCTAACAACCTCTCTTTCCCTTCCAAGGGTAAATTCATCAGGATCCACTTCGGCACCACAGGGAAACTGGCTTCTGCTGATATTGAAACATGTGAGTAACTGGACCTTCTAACTAGAATCCAAGAATAACAAATGGGGGGTTGGAGGAACACTCTGCAGCTCCTGCTTAGCAAGGAGCCCAGAAAACACCTCTGCTGCCAAATAGGCTTGCAGCGAGTGCCAGCCTTAGGCAAAGCCCGCAGTGCGCCTTTACCCACCCAAGCATGAGCTAACGAGTCTGTAGGAACAGCCAGGCCTATTTGGACTCGTTTGAAATACCCTGGCTCAGAACACTTTTAAAACACTCAAAGAGCAAAGTAACCCAGGGGTGTCTGAGTTGCCCATGGGTTCAATGTATGTGACCCTTCCATTCCTGAGCCTCTGTGACTATTTCCCTTAGTAGCTCCTATAGTAGAATGCCAGTATTAAATCATATTCCAAATGTCAAGGTTCTTCTCTATGAGAAGTGAGCATTCCTTTAGGCAAGTACATTTTACCTTTGTTCTAGAGGGGTTAAGAGAAAACTCAGTGTTTATAGAGATGTAACATGTGGGACCTCATGACCACCTAGCTATGATCTCCAGGGGTCCTAAGACTTAGCTGATGGCCTCAGGTTCTACAACCACCCTAAGACACTTGATAACCCCCTTCTTAACTGTGTTGATTCTTCATGACAGATCTTCTGGAGAAGTCTAGAGTCACTTTCCAGCTAAAAGCTGAGAGGAGCTACCACATCTTCTATCAGATCATGTCTAACAAGAAGCCAGATCTGATTGGTAAGAACCTTAAATTCATAAACTAAAGTTAGTGCTTTTATTAAGATTTTCTAATACTAAACATGTATCCTGAATCCTGCTTACCCAGAAATGCTCCTGATCACCACCAACCCGTATGACTACGCCTTTGTCAGTCAGGGGGAGATCACAGTGCCCAGCATTGATGACCAAGAAGAGTTGATGGCCACAGATGTAAGTCACATATCATGTATGAACATAGCAGCAATAGTCTAGTTAGGGTAAACTACAAATTCTGCCAAGTAAGTAGTGTCTTCTGCCTTTACATTTGTCCTCTCTTGGCTCCTCTTAGAGTGCCATTGACATTCTGGGCTTCACTTCTGATGAAAGAGTCTCCATCTATAAGCTCACAGGAGCCGTGATGCATTATGGGAACATGAAGTTCAAGCAGAAACAACGAGAGGAGCAAGCTGAGCCAGATGGCACCGAAGGTACCAAAACCAAACTTAACTCTCTCTATGGGTTTACAGAGGAAATATAGTCCAAACTCACGTCTCCTTTGTGACTGAGCTTCTAGTGGGCACACACAAATTTATCCCCACATAGAGTGTACAAAGCAATCTACTCAACACTCCGCCATTTTGTATTATGGGGCCGAGAGAAGGTAATGTTGAGACCCTGAATTATATTTCTGCAGTTGCTGACAAGGCTGCCTATCTCCAGAATCTGAACTCTGCTGACCTGCTCAAAGCCCTGTGCTACCCCAGGGTCAATGTCGGCAATGAGTACGTCACCAAGGGCCAGACGGTGCAGCAGGTAAATGCATGTCCTCTGTGAAACACACGCACCCCACGAGACCTCCTTGATATCATTAATGATGCCAACGAGAACTACTCTGTCTCTAAAGGTGTACAACTCAGTGGGCGCCCTGGCCAAAGCCGTCTATGAGAAGATGTTCCTGTGGATGGTCACCCGCATCAACCAGCAGCTGGATACCAAGCAGCCCAGGCAGTACTTCATCGGGGTCTTGGACATTGCCGGCTTTGAGATCTTTGATGTAAGTTGGCAGAAACCTTGTAACAGCAGACAAGTTTGCAAGTCTTCTCCTGCAGTCACCAAGGGAATGCCTATGAAAAATGACCACATTATCAACTGGTTCATAGAAGAGGACTAGAAATCTGGGGAAGGGTGTGAACTTTGGAGTCAAACTCCAGCTGAGTCATTGCCTCACTGTGTGGTAGCGGGACTAGCATGTGCCTGGTCATTGCACAGTTTCACTGAGGACCTATCTGTGTAATACCCTCTTGCAGAGCTTTTGGTCAGTTAGAAGACAGGTGTACTTAAAGCCCCGTGTATAATCCCCAGTTTACAATCAGTGACCAATAAATAATAGAGAAGATGATTGATCAACAATAGCATCAAACTGGCACCGGGAAAGGTGATGGCAAATGAACACAGGCTTTGAGATTCCTGTCTTCTTAATTAGGGAGACAAAATATGTCTTGACACTAAGGTAACTTCTGCAATGACAAGGTAGGGTGGATGGAAGTGACAGAATAAACTCAAATATTTCTGCCTAAGAAAGAGTGCTCTGCAATCCCGTCAGTCAAAATGACTGCCTCTCTACCTACCCGTTGTATTTGTAACTGGCCTCCTTCTGAAATCATATTTGAGAACTTTTTTCTATGAGTGTATTGATAAGCTGATGAAATTTGAGTAAGGGGGGTTTGCTACAAGTGGAACAAAAATCCCACCGTCCTCAGAGAGCAGTTAGCCTGCCCAGCTGAGGAGAGCCTGGAGAGGCTTGCATTCGAAACCGACCGCTCCTTCGCTTCTCCACTTGCTTAGTTCAACAGCCTGGAGCAGCTGTGCATCAACTTCACCAACGAGAAGCTGCAGCAGTTCTTCAACCACCACATGTTCGTGCTGGAGCAGGAGGAGTACAAGAAGGAAGGCATCGAGTGGGAGTTCATCGACTTCGGGATGGACCTGGCCGCCTGCATTGAGCTCATCGAGAAGGTTCGTGCGCCCTTTGCAGATCACAGCTGTGTGGTGTGGAAACGAAAAACAGTAAAATCTTGGCGTGTGTGGTGGCCAAAGATTACTGAATGAAATGAGGGAAGTATGCTGGTAATAATGAGACAAAATGTTTTCCTTTAAAAAATGTCCATTCTCTGACAATTTTACAGACACATATTGCTCCCCCCCCCCCCCCCCCCCCCCCCCCCCCCCCCCCCCCCCCCCCCCCCCCCCCCCCCCCCCCCCCCCCCCCCCCGACACACACACCAGCTCTGGACTCCTCCTCAACAAGTCAATCTCCTACTTCCCCCGCCCTCGGATCCACTGAGCATGGTGGGGGGGGGGGAGGAGATTGCTTACCACATCATGGGCAACTTACCACTGGCGTCACCACAGAAGAGAGCCCCTCCTTCTCCAGTTGCTACTGACTAATTGCAGCTCCTCAGGGCAGGGCAGGGAGACCTCCCATTCCTAGGTGAAAGATGAACAGTCCCCACCTCATGCAGGTGTTGGGCAGGTAGCCACAGCTGCTGAGTTCATGAGGACAGTGGCCAGCTGTGTCAGTTCCAGAAGACAGTGCTCCACAACACCCATCCCCCAGCTTCAGGCTCCCCCATTCTTTCTGTCCCCTCTTTTGAGACAGACTACATTCTACAGGGTCCACGGTTTTATGCCTACCCAGAGTTTACAATCAAAGCCTTAACATGGAAAGCTATCCTTAAGTATAAAAGTTTAGCACATATTAAAGTATTTTTATTTACTTCTCTGGCATCCTGAGATTTACTATTTTTGACCTCTGAAATGCAAATTTCTGATGCTGTCGACTGAGCATCTCTAGCTATGCTATACTCACCCCAAGCCATTAAAACAGTGTGGCCTGCTCTCACCCTCATGAGAACTCTACAGCAAATGCTGAATGAGCCGTGGTGTCTTCACTGTTAGCAAGTAACTCTAGCACAGCTAGTTCAAAGCCACACTTTGAGAAGTTCTGCTCCAAGGCTTTTGGGGTAAAGACATAAAGTCCAGAGAAGCATAGCCATTATTTGTCATAGCTAAGAGCCTCATTACGTCAGTGACCTCTGCCAAACAAATGAGTTTTCATTAGCTCTGTGGAACTAAAGACTGAATTCAGCCATTCAGGTCGTCTGTCACTTTTGTGAGCAGATTTCATGTGGCATTTATTTCTGTATTTATTCTTCTAGCCGATGGGCATCTTCTCCATCCTGGAAGAGGAGTGCATGTTCCCCAAGGCGACAGACACCTCCTTCAAGAACAAGCTGTATGAACAGCATCTTGGAAAGTCCAACAACTTCCAGAAGCCCAAGCCTGCCAAAGGCAAGGTGGAAGCCCACTTCTCTCTGGTGCACTATGCGGGCACCGTAGACTACAACATCGCAGGCTGGCTGGACAAGAACAAGGACCCCCTGAATGAGACCGTGGTGGGGCTCTACCAGAAGTCTTCAATGAAAACTCTGGCTTACCTCTTCTCTGGGGCAGCAGCAGCAGCTGAAGCAGGTAGTCATCAACCAACTATCTTTATTTAATGTGATAATTCTAAGCAGAGAAGCCTGGCTTCTGACTGACCACTTGTGTTCCTTGCCCCCTCAGAGTCCGGTGGTGGTGGTGGTGGAAAGAAAGGGGCCAAGAAGAAGGGTTCTTCTTTCCAGACGGTGTCAGCCCTCTTCAGGGTAAAAACTTCATTTCTCTCTAAATGGGTTTAGGCTGTTAGATTTTACGCTAATGTAGACAGGGGGAGGGGGTGGTGGTGGGAGAGTAGATACTGTTTCAAAAGCTCTGGAATGGGATGTGGCTGACGTAGGTGGGGTGGGGGTGGCTCAGCTGATAGTGGTATACCTGAGTTTGAGGGAGGAAGAGAATAACTTTGAAGAAATACCTCCATAAATAAGAAAAGGGTCAGGAGTGGATTACAGAAACATCAGATGGAAAAACTCAATTTGGGAAGTCGGCAATGACAATTGGAATTCAAACCTCTCCAGCGGGAGAGGAGTGCATATGTCATGAGCTTTGCTTGAACTTCTGGGGGCTTCCAGATGATTTAGGTTCCTAAGTATATGCTAACAGAGGCCTCAACTGAGTAGATTTGAAGTGGAGGACAGGTGAACAGTGGCAGGAATTGGAGAGTGAGTCGGAATATAAGAAATATAGATTATAAGGAATCTAAGTCAGAATATGAGAAAAAAGAATATAAGAAATATAAGGGAATATAAGGGAAGAAACCAGATAGAATATTTCTTTAAAAAATAGTCATTAAGGAAAGTTCAGTTGGCAATCTGCACTCTTAATTACATCTTAAAAAAATGGACGTTCTTGTTATTCTGAAAGACTCTCTCTGAAAGTTGGTGAACTTCTGATATTCAGTAGTATGACCATCAGTTTTCTTGTCAATTCCAAGAAGGAGGCATTGAGTGGACATGTCCCAGGGAGCGAGTAGGGTGACACAGCTGTGTGGTGGCTTGTGAAAGTAAAGTAAGAATGCAAGGTTTGGAGGCAAATTAGGAGAAAACCAGACCAAAAATCTCAGTACGTGTTCCATGCATGGATGTAACACTGTTCCATGTATGGATCTAGCACCTTTGCATGCTTACGGTGCCATGATAAAAATATACTATATGCCAGGAAATTCACCAACACTGAGCAGCCAGCTCAACAGCTAAGAGGGAAACAGGCTCCTGGTGTACAAACGTGGTATACAAAAAGTAACCCAGGAGAGTATGTCAAAGAATTTAGAGATCCCAGACATGGCTCTGGAAAATTCAAACCTGGATACTATTCAGTAGAACTGGACCAAAGTGGTGGCCCATGGTCGTTATGTCTGTAAATAGAAGGGTCTGTAACAGCACATAGTAAATAAGACATATTCTATGACTCCACAGGAGAATCTGAACAAGCTGATGACCAACCTGAGGAGCACCCACCCTCACTTTGTGCGGTGCATCATCCCTAATGAAACCAAGACTCCTGGTAAGATACTTCCAGTATCTACCCAGACAAGTCCCAGAATGTTTGCTTTAGAGACTAGATCATGAAATACATGTGGCCTTTTCCAGGTGCCATGGAGCACGAACTGGTCCTGCACCAGCTGAGGTGTAACGGTGTGCTGGAAGGCATCCGCATCTGTAGGAAGGGCTTCCCCAGCAGGATCCTCTATGCAGACTTCAAGCAGAGGTTGGATATTTTTTCACTGTGGATTGTTTAAAGGTTTTTTCTATTGTTTTTTTCTTTTAACAAATAGGAAAGTAACACTTAAGTGACTTAAGGACACGCTGTGATGTTCTTTGACTATACAAAGAATAGATTAAGGGCAATATGGTTTCTTTATTTTTCTGTTAGACTACCCAACAGCAACGGTGTTTCTAAGGCAGGGAGTTTTCTTTAGTGTCGACAACTATGTCATTTATTTGGTTGGTTTAAACAGATACAAGGTGTTAAACGCAAGTGCCATCCCCGAGGGACAATTCATCGATAGCAAGAAGGCTTCTGAGAAGCTCCTTGGCTCCATCGACATTGACCACACTCAGTATAAGTTTGGTCACACCAAGGTAATCCTCCCTAAATATAGCCTCATGTCTTCCTGTCCCTTTGAACTCGGTGTGAAGTTTCTGATCTGCAACATTGCTTGCACACAGGTCTTCTTCAAAGCTGGTCTTCTGGGGCTCCTAGAGGAGATGAGAGACGAGAAGTTGGCCCAACTGATCACCCGTACCCAGGCCATGTGCAGAGGGTACTTGGCAAGAGTGGAGTACCAGAAGATGGTGGAGAGAAGGTATGTATACAGAAAACATATGAAGTTCATTGTTGTAGTCCCTTTTGTTCTGATTCCCATTAGAATTCAACTTTGAATGCTTCTGTTCCCATCACAGAGAGTCCATCTTCTGCATCCAGTACAATGTCCGCGCCTTCATGAATGTGAAGCACTGGCCCTGGATGAAGCTGTATTTCAAGATCAAACCTCTCCTGAAGAGTGCGGAGACAGAGAAGGAGATGGCCAACATGAAGGAAGAATTTGAAAAAGCTAAAGAAAACCTTGCCAAGGCAGAGGCCAAAAGGAAAGAACTGGAAGAGAAGATGGTAGCTCTGATGCAAGAGAAAAATGACCTGCAACTCCAAGTTCAGGCTGTGAGTCTCTCGAAGCCTGCCCTGATGCTAAATTCTCTGCTCAGTGATGAGCAAGAAAATGCCCAGAATTCCACACAATGAAGTGACTGGCTGCTGGTCTTTTAAAGTGACAACTCCTTAAAGTGTTCTAGAACATTCCACACACAACATTACCGCAAATCAGAGCAGTAGGATTCTCAGTTGCCCAGAAGGAAAAACAAAAGTTTCCATTTCTTTTAAGTGATTTTCCTAGCAGACTGAGGATGGGAAGTAAGGGAATATTTGCTTTCCCACAATTTTACCTATTGACAAATGTCAAAAGAATATTATTAGTGAATAGGGAGAAGAGCTTGCAATAATAATGTATCAACCCCAAACTAATAGTCCAAATTTTAAACCTACAGTTCTAAATATTTCCTACACAATTTTCTTTTAGAAATTTTAGACTACCAGAAAGAATTAGAGATTGGCAAGGCTTTCTATAGATAGTGTTCATTTCTATGCACGCTAGGAAATATTGTGTTGATAGTCTCCCTCTGATGACCCAATAAATATCCAGAGACTTGAAGAATAATGTGTGACCAGGAGCTACCTTCTAATCTATTTCTATTTCGTCCAAACTACTGTCATTATCAAACACAGAAACATGAAAAGGTCGCTTTCTAGTTTTCTGAATTCAGAAGAAAAACAATCAGTCCCACTGGGTCTATGTATTCTGAATACATAACAGAAATGAATCACAAACATCAAGGTTGTATCTCTCCTGTGGTTTGTATAGACAAATAAGAGTCATTCATCATAACATCAAGAATAGAGATTATTGAAGAGGATGCCTAAGCTTCATCCCACTGTAC